ATTTGTGCCAAATTTCATCGAATTTGGTGATGCAGGGTGCAACTCCTTGTTTTTAGAGAAATTTTTACCCTACATAAAGTTAAATTCTCAAACAAAAACAAAAAGTTTGATTTCAAAAATGTAATTGAAATCTGGTTCTCTAAATATTGTGATATGCACTTTTGTTAACTTTTTTTACTTTAAATTTTTTAAAATTTAAAGTAAAAGAAGTATCAAGTATTTACTGAAAAAAAAGAACTTGATGTTATTTTATCTGTATGATAAAATAACATAAAGACACTTTTCTTCATAATCGACTATACAATTTTAAATTTGAAAGTGTACTTTTTTTAACCATCCTACTATATTCGCTATATTATATAAATTAATTTTTTTTTTAAGTCAATTACTTTTACTTTTCTAACTTTATTAATTTTTTTTAAATTAATCTTGAAGTTATTTACATCACTTATTTAAGAGTTTTTTTTAAAAGACTGTCTCTTGCTTTGGAAATGGTTTTGCATTTTGCAATTTTATTCTAAGTTTTGTATTTTAGCTTCTTTTATTCAGCTTGGTTGTTGTTAAAAATCAATCTAACCAAAATGTAAGTTATTTCTGGAAATGACTAACTAGAATAATTGTTAGATAAATAGAATAATTAAGGAATAATTGTTGTCGGGAATTATCGAAACTAATAGAAATTACTTCATGCCAAACAACAGTTTTATGAATAGCTATGGATAAATAAATTAAAAAAAAATTTTTTATTTTTGCTAAAGTGGTTGTTACGTCCAGGGCTGACCAGAGCCGTCCCGAACGTGGGGTGAAGGGGGTATCCCCCCTCCTTTCCCCATATATTTGAGTTAGCACATTTGTACATTTAGCATTTCAGTTGGCAAGTTTGGAAGTATAGTTGGCAAATTTCAAATATGGAGGACTCTTTGTGTGTGTGTGTGTGTGCGTCTCTAGTTGACAAAAAACACATACGAGCCCCCCCCCCCCCCCACGAGAGACCTCGTTGGGACGGCTCTGACAACAACCACGCTAAATAAGAGAGGTAAAAAGCAGCAGCATAGCTACAAATATATATATACATATTTTTTTAAATATCTTCGCTTCCAACAAGGCTGCAAGCAACCACTAATTAGTGTTGGAAGTTACTGGAAGAGAAAAGATGAAGATTGTAGAGCAAGATAACGATTGACAGACGACTTAAAAGATTGCAAATTATATGAATCAGGAAAGCAAGATGAAGAAAGCGAACTCAAAAAAACTGATGTTTGAGGAAAAAAACTAGACGAATAAGAGTTTTTGGAGCACTTAGGAACAGTAACAGAAATAGGATGAGACTTAATTGAATGACGAGTAACACGAAAATGAATTTTAGTAAATGGCACAAGAGACGCTAGCTCTTTAGAGCAGTGCCCATTATAGTATTTGTAGAAAAGAGAAAGAGAAGCAACGTTACGACGATGTGACAGAGGTTGAAGGTTGGCTGTAAGAGCAGGTCCAACTATGTTTACAACGCCTTTTTGCACCTTGCCCAAAAGAGAAAGGATTTGAGATTTATAGAGATAGAGAATAGAATCCAGAGTAAGAAAGTGACGAGCTCGATAAAGAGAAGCGACTTTAGCAGATGCTAATTTTGCAACGGGTTTTATATAAGGTTTCCAAGAAAGATCAGAAGTAAGAGTTAATCCTTGAAGATGAAGTGTAGGAGACTCATCGAGTACATTACTGTTCATAAATATACGAAGGTCTAAATTTTTTGCCATAACGATTGGCTGAAAGAAATTGAGTTTTAGCTGAATTAAAGTTCACCAGCCACTGTGAGTCCCATGCTGTAGCAGAAGTGAGATCCTTTTCAAGCTCAGATCCCCCCTGCAAGCAGGGGGGATCTGAGCTTGAAAAATTAGGGAAGAAAAGGGGCATAATTTCTATCTGAGCTAGAAATTATGCCCCTTTCCTTCCCTTCCTGCCGCCAAAGTTTAATTATGGCTATTAACCTATTTCTGCTCAACAAAAAATAGAAATATAAAGTCAATTATTATTTAGCAGCCCCTATTAGCTCTCATGCAGCAGGGAGCCCGTCTCTACTCTACTGGTATACCCGCTATTGACTATATTTGTCCCTAGTTATAATAGAACTTTCTTTTATGATACACGTATTAAAAAAATCCTATTCTGATGCCACACCACAAACACAGCCCAAGTATCATCCAGAAGTGCTCTCAAACAGGCAATGGATTTGAATACGCTACCTATCTCAAAATTTATGTTAAATCAACATGAAATCACTGTTCTTTGAGAAAGTAAATAATACAACTTACTTACGAAATTTATACAAAATAAAGTACAAAATTTCAAAGAAAAAATTTACTTTTATTTATTATGAATATATATTTATAATGAATATATATTTATAATGAATATATAATTTATTTAAAAAAAAAAACAAACTTTTAAATGTAATTAAATTATACATTATTATATGAGTTATGTAAAATAATTTACGCTTCAGAATAATTCGCGTTTTTACATCAAAATAAGTAAAAGTGCCATCCCTACTTTGCATCTAATCTGAACTTTTTTTAACTTGTAATTTACTGTATTCAACTATGGAGATTCAAAGTTTAGTATTATATTGAGTAAAGGTTATTTTTTAGCATTACTAATTTTATTTTTTGTAAATATGTCAATTTTTGTAAATCTCTCAATTATCTATTTTATAAAGTTTGAAAATTTTTCTTTGAGCTAAGAGAGTTTAAATAGAAAGGGGAAATTTTATATAATACTTGTGTATATCCTGTAGAAATAATTAGGCGCATTTTATCGCATTCCGTAAAAAAATTTTCATTGCTTAAATAACGGAAAATTTATAGTTTTGCTTCTTTGTATAGGGGGAGGGAGGGTAATCAAAAATTGACGTAATTTTATAGGGGGTGTCTGGAAATTTGATAAATTGTTGACAAGGGGGAATTGGGAGGTAAAAATTTCAAAAAATTTGTTGACGTAATTAATGGACAGCCTCTAATGTATTTTTTTCATAAATAAGAAAATAATAAAGAATAATAATTTTTGCAGATTGCTTTATCTATCATATAGATCATAAAAACATCATAAAACAGTCTTCCACTCAGCGGATTCGAATATCAATTTTAAATTTGTTTTTAGAGCAGTATACTTATATCGCGACGTTAGAATTGTTTTGTATTATCTCCACATTTTTGAGTTTTCAGATAAAACGATTTAAAAGATAAAAACCTTTAGAGACGACGTATAAAAACATTTTTACAACTTATGTTTTCTCGGCAACTTTTTTTAATTTTTACTTAAGTTTCAATAGAGTAAAAAAACTGAAAAAATAAAAATTCTGAGATTTATAACACTATAAATAATTCAATTTTTCAAAAGATGGAGATAGAACAAGATGATTCTAAAGTCGAGATATGTAAACTGAATAATATAGAGCAACCATAGCGCTGTAATTAGCGTGCTTGCCTGAGAAGGTAGAGATCCGTGGTTTAACGCCACCTTAGAGCAAGTTTTATAACATCGGTAAAGAAAGACGTTGCTTTAACTATTTTTTATTATCGGTTTTTATAACCAAAACATAAGCATCAATAACCAATTTAAATCAATAAACATTATATAGAAGAACCCCGTTAACTCGAACTCTGAAAGGGTATATATATATATTGTCTGATTTAGCGAATGACCGAATAAGCGAAGCTTTTGCTTTGGTATGCCATAGTTCTTTGATAAATTTACAGATGATTCTCTTTTATCGAGTTCTTTTAGTACTATGACTTTTTCTATTATAGTTCTACTCAGTGCAGTGGCTAGTGGGTCTCAGCCCCACCCCCCACCCCCAAAAAAAGGGTAGCCTAGCCACGGCTTTGGTTCTACTTGTTAGTTTTTTTTTTAGTAACCTTTTAGCAACATAATAAATAAAATTCACTCAAAGATTAACTGAATCGAAGATATCGGTGAAAATGATTTTAAATTATATTTGACGCAAAAGTAATTAATTTTCAAACGAATTAAGTTTTTCATTTAATTGATGCTTTTGAATTTTTATTATAAAAGACATTATTAAATAGAATTTAATCGAAGTCGAAAATATTGGTTAAAATGTTTAGTTGTACGTTTAATTATATTTAATGCAAAGGTAATTTTCGAACGTTCAAAGTTTGGAATTTGTATTAAAGTATTGGAGATTTTGTTATAATATGCACTAATATGCAATTTAAAGTTCCAGTAAGCGACGATTTTTTTCTTAAGAAACCCCAAAAACCTGAGTTAGCGAATGGTCCGACTTAACCAAGGTACAATTTAGGCGGATGATTTTATAGTAAGTTGATAAAGAAACTTCAATGGAAATAGATATCCCGTTTGACTTACTTGGCATGAATTTTAGCAATAAGTGAATGAACTCTTTGTTTATCTATCTTATTGCAAATAAGTTCGATAAAGCTTTTATTTTTTGTTTAATCAGTGTAGTTCCATCTGTGCATTGCTATTGGTTAATTATTATTTCTTTATTGTTAGTGTCAAACTTTACCATTAAAAGTTCTTTAAAAGCAGAGAATGCATGATCTCTATTGCTAACAATCATTCCTATCAAATCTCTATAATCTTTGTCGATTTTACGAGTATTAGCTAACAACTAAATATTCTAATGATATCTACACTGCGGCAGTCAATATCTCTTTTAAAGAATTAATAAAAAAAATAAGTTAATTTTTTTTAGATTTTAAACCAGAAACATTTGAAACAAAATTTTGATCATCAACTACAAAAACTAGCTGATCTAACTCAGTAAACGATATTAAAGCTTGTTTTAGCATAGCTTTCCGTAGAGATACTAAAGTATTGTTTAGATCATTTTTACTTTGTATTTCTAAAAATAAATTGTTTTGATTGAACCAGTTTCCTGTCTATAGACTGGAAAAAAATTAGAAAAAAATTATAATTTTTATTGAATATCATTTTACTACAATTACATCTTTTGCTTTTAGTTTGTAGGAAAAATTTGTCTACCAGATTTCATGACATGGAAAGAAAAGTTAACAACCATAAACGAAGCCATAAATAATCTAGGATTAAAAAAATGCGAGAATACAAGTAAAGAAAATTTATTTAAGAATTTTTTGTGTGTTATTATGTGTTTGTTTTATTTTTTCCAATTATGAACTTAATTGTGCTGTTATTTTTTTTATTATGAACTATGCTTGTTTAGGAGTAGCATGTCTAAAAAAACACACACACATACACACAAGTACTCGCACACGCAAACCCATTGGGTGTGCGTGTCTCTGTGTGCATAACACATCAGGGCCAGCGTTAAACATGAGCAGCCGTGGCGCAGTAATTAGAGTTCTAGCTCAGAACCCAGAGGTAAGAGGTTCGACGCCAGCTCCAGCCCAACAAGCGACATTGGTACGGAAGGAGGCGTGAACTTCCTATTAGGTGCTCTCCCGCGGTGCTCTATGATAAGACCGTAAGGACTTCTGGGAGCACCTAAATACATACAAAAAAAAACGAGAAAAAAAAAAAAAAAACATAGGCAAACTAGACAGCCGTCTAGGGCCTGTGATTGGTGGGGGCCTCTCACTTGTACAGAAGTTTATATAGAAGTTTATAAGTTTAAATATATCAGCTAATTTACAGAAAGAAATCATTCAAACAGAAGATTCATGTTTAAGGAATGCAAATGAGAGTCAGAAAATCTAAATTTTCTAAACTGAGGAGCGCTTTGCATGAGCGGAACGAATATAAATTTGTTTTCCAATTCTATAAGTTGCCTGTTGTGATCTTACTTGGGTTTTTACGTTTTTCCACCCATGAATTGGTAGACGCCAGACGTACTTTTTTTCCGAGAATCAGGTGCAGACTCATCTTGCGTTCCCATCATTGGTGTTGCATTGTACCAAAATACCGTTTGGAAAGGACATTGACTTGAAAGCATCTTTCTTCAAACAGCAAACCGGCTTGTTCCACAGTCAATGGCAACTCTAATTGTCATACTTCTTCCATCACATCTCAACGTTGGTCCATATTAAATCCACTCAGTATTGCATTTCCTTCTCACAGGGCCACTTCCAAATGGCGCATTATTTTGATCAAGTATAACTGAGCTTGATCTCCGATTAGATCATCCTAAGCATCTCCTGGCAATGATATTTTGTAAAAATGCAGGCAAATGTCCACATATTGAAAAAAGTCTCCGATGTGTTATTTTTTCATTTTAATTATTTTTTTATTTAAATATATAGTTGCAAAATTTACAATCATCCAGCACCACTTTGCTCCGGCCTTTCAGTTACCAATCTCATAGTTTCAATTAACCATTTTCCACCCATGAGTCTTCATTAAATTGATGTTTCAGTTGAGGTTTTACCTTGTACTGTGTGACAAAATTCTTCAATTCTGGTTTACCTTGTTTCCATTTATATTTAGCAATCCACTTTGTATCGTCATTATAGGCATCGAAATCCTTGTCCTTTACGCCTACATGTTATTTTTCTGTATGAATTGAAACAAAGCTAAATTCAATTTTTCCATTATACAAATGCACTTATCCACAGCAATTTCTATTTTATTAAATATATACTTTGTTAATTAACAAATAATTTGACAATGTACTTGTAAAAATAGATTCTTTAGATTCGAGTTCCGCAGATGCGGTCTTCGATAAGTAATTAAGTAGTCCAATTTAAGTGATGTTGATTAAGTGATGTTGACGGGTTGTAAACACTGTCAGTTAAAACTCTTAAGTGTCTGTTAAATAGTGAGAAATGTAACTAAAAACATGGTGGAAGCATAATTTATGAAGTTTAAACATCAACAATATATTTTGATATGTACTTAGTTTGTATTCATCTAAAGCATTAATATATTTTGGTAAAGATTTGGCGTACGCATATCTATCAGGATTAAAAATTAACCGATTAGCTTGTTTTTGTTTGATATAAGTTTTTTTTAATGAAAGCGAGTTATTACTTGCCTTAACTATATTAAAATAACTAATATAGCTATGGATAAATGAAAAGTATAAACTTTTTATGCGCATATTATTTAAAAGGTGTCTCTTTTTGTGCATGATCCCCTGAGTTAAAGAGAATTGGATCTCTATTAACTTAAAATGACCTTTCTAATTTAAGTGTTCATCAATTAATATACCTAAAACTTTCATTGAATGGACTTTTTTTTATCTTCATGTTGAACCATCGCCGTTTTTCTACAAAGGAACGGGAACACTATAATTGCAAATTTTAATCCATTAATGACATTAACTGATTGACATGATAAACATCATCCATACCTATGACGGCATTAATACTTGCAACACAACTGTTTAGAATTATTACTGATAGTTATAGTTGTTTTCCTTCAATGATCAATGTTTCTATAGCTTCTAACACTGTTTTCACAAGTTCTCCATTTACAGCTTTTACTATGCGTTTCTTTCTTCTGATATGCACACTGTATATCTGAGACATTTTCTTTGAAGTGATAGTTTGAGTACATCAGGTAACAACGAGTGCTTTTGATGAAAAGGTGTCCACTTGCACAATGCGTATCGAAAGCGCCGTAGTATGACATACTACAACACTAGGGTGTAATAGCTTAATACGAGACAATAGCTTAATACGACAAAATGGCTTCTTACGACAACTTTGTTTACGCTTTTTAAAATTGTTTCTCTTTCAAATTTCTTTTACAATTTTTATACAAAACAGAAATTCTTGAGGACGTTACTATATACAAAAATAGCTTATGACTAGTGATAGTAAATTACATCAATTTAAATTATCGTAAAAAGCATAACAATAAACTTTTATAACAATTAGCTATTATAGTATACGACAGCAAAAACTGTACAGTTTTTACATTTTTTTTCATTTTTGTTTGATTATTTTCTGATCAAAAAATCAAGCTTGAATAAAATACCGATCGGAAAAATATGTCTAGTGTTTTTGCTGACCGTGAATTGTCCGTAAAGCACATTCATGCTATCGACGTTGGGTTTAAGCTGGAAAATCGGTTGAAGGAAAAAAGTTCAAAAAAAACGGCAGCAACACAATAACAAGTTCAAAATAAGACTCAACGCTGGAACAATGATTTGAAAAAAATCATTTCAATTCTGCAGTTTGTTACAGAACGGAATTTAGCACTTTGGGGCACAATGGACCAATTACTTCATCTAAACAATGAAAATTTTTTGGAATTTGGCTGAATTGTTAAGAAAGCACGGTTCTTGCATGAAGATTATTTACGCCGTATATATAAAAGTAAGGAAATTCATGATCATTACATAGGAAAAACAATAAAAAATGAGGTAATTAGTCTGATGCTACCTACAAAATATTATAAATAATGTTCGAAATTTGAAATTCAATAATTTTAGACTGCACATCTGATGCTGGTCACCAAGTGCAAGGGAATGTGATTTTGCGAATATGCAAGATTGGGAGTAGATTAGTAAAAATCAAAAATATATTGTGGGATTCCAACCTGTCAATGACAGCACTGGATCAGGTCAGAAACATGTTTACAAAAGCTTGAACACCTGAATTTAAGTTTGCAGAACTAACTTTCTTAAATTGTTTTCAATCTAAATTTTTGGAGACATGGTGAAACCTTCAGTAGTGGTATATACACGCTTTGTAACTTTGCATCAAATTTATCTTTTGTTTGACGCTTAAACAGTCAAGCCTATTTTCAATACACGCTGAAAATGCAGAATCAATTGCGTGAAAGCTTCTCATTATCAAATAGAAGCAGTGTTCGATGCATTGATGGAAATGGCTGAAAATGCTAACAATCCAAATGCAAGGACCGAAGCAACTGGACTAACAAAAAAAAAAAAAAACTTTTTTTTTTTGGTTGTTTCAGCCATCTGGTACAATTTATTGTTTCAAATCAATACCGTTTGGAAATTGATGCAATCAAAAAACATTTAATTTGACATTGCACTGAAATATATAATAAATCCAACCGAGTTTATTTAAAAATACAATAAAAATGGATTTGTATCTGCTTGAATTTCACTCAGAGAATTGGCTCAATAATTAGAAATGGAACCTAACAAAATCAAACTTCTTGCTGCTATAAGCTTGAGAAGAAAGAAAAGACACAAACAGTTTAATTGTGAAAGTATAGATAAATCATCGACAGATCCAAATAAAAAATATCGAGTTGAGTTTTTTAATGTTTTGTTAGATTATGCAGATACGACGTTTTGAGCAAATTGAACGTCACTTTGATCTTTTTTGATTTCTGCACATTATCAAAAATTTTTTAGAGTGATTTGATAAAATATTGTGACGATTTAAATATTTATTTTAAATCTTCATAATATTTAATATTGTTTCATATTTGAATCTTCCCTCCCTCCCCCAACCCCCTTACAATTCGAACGATTTTGGATAATCTCCCGCCTCTCCATACGTGCTAATGTAATTTGCGGAAGACCCCTTAAATCTATCTAAGTTGCAACGTAGCTTGAAGCTACCCTAGTAGGCACAGGACCTAAAAACGTTCAAAAGATGTCTAAAACATTAAAAAAACGTTTAAAAGACGTCTTTTTTACGTCCCGTTCTTACTGGGACGTTGTAGATCAGATATGTTGCAGATTAGATATGATTAGATACAGGGTGAAAATACTGTTACCTATATAATGAAAACAAAAATAAAGAAATTTAAAATACATATTATATGGGTATGGGCTATATATATATCAGGCCACGTAATATATATATAGCCCATATATAACTTGACTAAATCAGGGAGAATGACCTAGTAGACCTGAGAAAATACTATTAGACAATTGATAGATGCATTATTTTATTTACAAATCTTTTTATCACCATTGATAAAATTGTTTTTCTATTCATCATGATGTGAAAAGTAATATTTTAATTTAGTTTTAAGAATATGTTTTTTAATATTACAAAAAGGTGTGTTTATTTTAATGTTGATTCTATTCCATCATTACCGTAGATTAGTGAATTTGGACACTTTTGTGTCTATTTTAAAAATAGTGAATTTTGTGAATTTAGTGAACTTTTAAAATTAGTGAATTTTGGACACTTTTGGACATTTATTAGGCCTCTACAAGA